TTTTTAAGGACAAGTGCTTTTGAGAGATTCCAACCAGTTTATTTGAATTAAGGAGATATCTCGGGCTGAGAATCTGAGACCATCTGCTTTGAGGCTTGGGCCTGGGGCCCTGGAGCATTCCTTCCCCACCCCACCCCCAGGCCCTCTGGTAGCCCAGCCTGCTTCCCTGTGGTCCCCCAAGGCAGGGCTCAGGGCTGGGGCAGACTAAGACTCTGCCCCAACCATGCTTAATTTTGTGTCCATGTCCCAGCAGTTCTGTCAGCCCAGGGGACCCAGGCACTGCAGGCTGCCCAGAGGAATGCCCAGTGGGCAGTGAAGCGGGTGGAGATGGAGATTCAGCACAGACTGCACACCTGCAGAGGTGGGCCACTCACGCCCCTCATTACCCTGAACTGCACTCATTACCCTGGGCTCTCTCTGTCATCCCTCTCCCTTATCTTCAGACCCCCCTCTCTTGGGGACAGACACTGCTGGGGCTGGAACCACACTACTTATAGAGTTCTCTCCAAGTGGAAAGGGCATACCAGCTTGGGGCGCAGCATATGGAAAGGCAGGAGGTGGGAACAGGCTGGACTCACCTGTGACTGGTGAGAGATTCATGGCTGCTGAGAACCTGTGGGCTAGCAGGTGGGGTGCAAAGCAGGTAGAAGAGCAGAGGGCGCTCAGGCCCTGCCTAGGGAGGAGGAGCCACAAGAGGGTGGCAGTGAGGTTCAAAAGGCTGTTTCTCAGCAGGACCTGGACACCCCAGGCCTCAAGCACCCCTCCTCCAGGACCCACCTGAACCAGGTGAGGCTAAAAAGGCTCAGGGGGCAGGGCAAAGAGCAGGGTGGGCCTCTACGTGAGGACAGCTTGAAGTTGTCCCTCACGATGTTACTTCTGCCTTTCTAGGGTCATGTGGTGAAAGGAGCCCTGGAGCTGCCAACGTGTCGCGGGCTCATGGACGCATAGTGGGGGGCAGCGCGGCTCCCCCCGGGGCCTGGCCCTGGCTAGTGAGGTTGCAACTCGGCGGGCAGCCTCTGTGCGGCGGTGTCCTAGTGGCAGCGTCTTGGGTGCTCACAGCGGCGCATTGCTTTGTGGGGTATGTTGGTGTTCCTCGGCACCTGCAGACCTAAGTCCCCAACCGTGGGTCCGGGACTAGCCAGAAGACTTGAGAGAGAGCCGGTCTCTGCTGCCCCCTGGCGGAGGCCTGTCCAGGTTCAAGGAGCCGGCACCAGACAAGCCAGCATGCAGACCCCAGCCCAGGGCATTGGCCTTACCTGGAGGATGGCCCTCCCGCCTTCCCTACCCCCGCCCCACCCTGAGGAGGATCAGCCAGGGTTGCTGGGTGGTGCGGGTGCGCTCGGTGAGGGTCAGGCGCTCCAAGGGGCCTCCTGCGTCCTTGTCCTTGCTGTGATCAGCCCCGCTCACTCTGCAGCGCTTCGAATGAGCTTCTCTGGACTGTGATGCTGGCTGAGGGGCCCCGGGGGGAGCAAGCCCAGGAGGTGCCAGTGAACCGCATCTTGCCCCACCCCAAGGTGAGAGATCAGTCCCCAAGCCCGGAGCTGGAAACAGGACCCCAATTCCATCTTCCTTGACATTGTGCTACTCCCTCGTCCCATCCCAGTTTGACCCGCAGACCTTCCACAATGACCTGGCCCTGGTTCAGTTGTGGACACCGGTGAACCCCGCGGGTCCCGCGCGCCCCGTGTGCCTGCCCCAGGGGTCCCGGGAGCCCCCAGCCGGCACCGCTTGCGCCATTGCGGGCTGGGGAGCCCTCTTCGAAGGTATTGAGCGGGCAAGGCGGGGATGAACCAAGGTGTGTGTGGGAAGAATGAGGGCCGAGGGGATGGAGTTTGGGAGGCCAGAGTGTAAAGGCACACGGCAAATTATTGCCCAGTCTTAAGGGAAGGAATCAAAGAGGGCAATGGGAGGGGCCCCAACCCTGAACCCCTTCCCTCTTCCCTGTAGACGGGCCTGAAGCTGAGGCGGTGAGGGAGGCCCGCGTCCCCCTGCTCAGCGCGGACACTTGCCAAAGAGCTCTGGGGCCTGGGCTGCGCCCCAGCACCATGCTCTGTGCCGGTTACCTGGCTGGGGGCATCGACTCATGCCAGGTATGAGCCCAGACTGATTGGAGGGCTTGGCTTGGGCGGCTTTGCAGGGGCAGGATGGCCTCCTTTCCTCCTGGAAAACTGCTATCACTCAGTTTCTCTGAGCAATATGTCCTTATAGCTAAAATGGGTACAAAAGAGCTCAGAGCAGACAGACCCTTCCAGGTGTAAGGTGGGCTTGGGGTGGTGGTGAATGCAGTGAGCTCTTCCTTTTGGAGCTCTCTCCTGTACCCCAGGGTGACTCTGGAGGGCCCCTAACCTGTTCGGAGCCTGGCCCCCACCCCAGGGAGGTACTCTTTGGAGTCACCTCCTGGGGAGACGGCTGCGGGGAGCCAGGGAAACCTGGGGTCTACACCCGTGTGGCTGTGTTCAAAGACTGGCTCCTGGAGCAGATGAGCGGTGAGCGCCCCCTTCCAATTCCCTCCTCCCCACAGTGCCGCGCGAACAGCCCTGGGACAAGTCTGCCCCCTCCTCACCCTAGCGTTGGTCCCTAGCTCCCAAAGGGCTGCACCGAGGGCTGGGAGCAAACATAGGGTGAGCTGGCCTCTGCCCCGCCTGCAGCCGCTTCCTCCACTCGTGAGCCCAGCTGCAGAGAGCTTCTGACCTGGGACCCGTCGGAGGAGCGACTGGCAGACGCCGCCCGGCTCTGTGCCTTCTACGCCCGGCTGTGCCCGGGATCCGACGGCGCCTGTGCGCGCTTGGCTCACCAGCAGTGCCTTCAACGCCGACGGCGATGCGGTGAGTCGGTTCCCCCGGCAGGGGCAGCGCCTGGGACGGGAGGGCTGGCCGCCTCTGACCGCCACTCAGACCCTTGTCCTTCCCGCAGAGCTGCGCTCTCTGGCGCATACGCTGCTGGGCCTGCTGCGGGGCGCCCAGGACCTGGTGCGCCCTGGGCTGCGGCGTCTGACCCCCGCCCTGGCTCTCCCGGCTCTGTGGCTCCGGCGGCCTCCGCGGCACCCCGTCCTCGAGCAGCGGCTACACTCAGGTACCCCGCGCCCTCCAGCCCCGCCGCGGCCCTGGGCCCCAGTCCTGCGCGGCGGAGCCGCTTTCTCCAGCTGACAGGTCCCCTAACCCTGCCTTCCCCAGGATCCAGGGCTACGGGAGTGTGGTTCCAGAAGCCGAGGCCAGAGCAGCGCGGGGCGACGAACAGTAAGGACGCCCCCCGCCGGCCTTCCCGAGGGGTGCAGCCTCGGGGCGAGGGGCCGGCGGAGCCCAAAGGGGCTTCAGGCGTGGAATTCTGTGCTAGGAGGGGTTCCCCATCCGGCAACGTCGCAGGCTCTCTCTCCCCTTGGTCCCGGTGGGGCGGACGAGTTAAGCGGAGAATTATGGCTTTGGGTCCTCATCGGCGTCCAAGAGCTACTCCTCCTTGCGTGGGTGTTTAAGCTCTCCGAGCCTCAGCTTCCCACCTGTACTGAGCAGAGGATGGCTGCCCCCGGGACCCTGACCCTGGGCGGGAGGCCGACTCCCTGTTATTCCAAGGCCTCTCCCCTCTGTGCAGGCTGCCCTGGGCTGGAGCCCCTGAGACAGAAGTTGGCTGCCCTTCAGGGGGCTCATGCCTGGATCCTGCAGGTCCCCTCAGAGCACCTGGCCATGAACTTTCAAGAGGTAGGTCCCCAGGCTTCCTAGACTCCTTCATGGTGAGGTGGGAAGGCTGGCATGAGGCGGGCCCTGAGACAGAGGAACAGAGTCCAGCCCTGACAGGTGGAGGAAGGAGGGACATTCACCCCACTGCAGGAGGCAGAACCCAGCCCCCAGCCGGGAATGCCCCTGCCCCGCCCCCAGGGGGGCCCAGGGAAGTGGATGGGGGACCACTGTGTGTGCGCTGGGGCATGGTGGGTATAAGCAGAGGGCGTGGAGAGGCGTGGGGTGAGGGCGCATGGGGGTGCCACTGGGTAGAAATCAGCCAGGCCTGAGTCTGGTGAGTTTCTGGAGTCCAGGGGGAGGGGCTGACTCCCATTGCCTACTTGGGCCTGGGTTTCTGGGTCCCTGATTACCTCGTCCTCTACAGGTGCTGGCAGATCTGGGCTCCAAGACACTGACTGGGCTCTTCAGAGCCTGGGTGCGGGCAGGCCTGGGAGGCCGGCGCGTGGTCTTCAGTGGCCTGGTGGGCCTAGAGCAGGCCACACTGGCTCGAAGCCTCCCCAGGCTATTGGTGGAGGCCCTGCAGGCCTTCCGCCTGGCTGCCCTGGCAGAGGGAGAGCCCGAGGAGCCCCAGATGGGTGTGAGGCCGGATCCAGGGCTGGGGAGGAAGGAACACCACGCACTCCACCCTCAGGTTCCCCCTGCCAGGCAGCCGTGGTGAGGACCTGCTGCTCCCGGGCTGAGGGAGGCAGGAATCATCGCAACAACAAGCCAACAAACTCACCGCCCCCTTTGGCACTGGGCGGGTGGGGTACTGGGTCTTCCCAGGAGTGCCATCAGAGAATTGCCGCTGCTTTAATAAATGTTATTTATATTCTGTGGAGACTATTTGGAGCTTTCTTGGCTGGGGAAGCAGTGGGTGGGCATTAGATCTGGGGGTGGGCAGAGTTTCTGGGAGCAGTTGGCAGAGATCACAGAGAAATGGGAGAAGGGGCTGCTAAGCCCCCGTCTGAGCATACACTCTGTCTCCTGGGAGGCGGCAGCTGGCCTGCCTGTCACCACTCCCGTCCACGGCTGACTAGTGTCTCACCACTCCCACCCTTCCTGCTCCTCTGAGAGTCCTGGCCTGGGATCTCAGCCTCTCACTCTTGGGCTCTGGCCCTGGCCCTGGCCCTGGCTGTCCATCCCCACCCCCTCATCACCTGCCTTGAGGTGTCAGATTGCATTTCCGGCTGCCTCTTCCCCTGGGCCCCCACCCCCACCCTGCACCTGTCCCCTCTGCCTTCTGCCCTCATTCCACAGCCCTGCAGGGCACACACAGACAAGGGGACAGGATGGAGGGCCCTGTGCTGACACTGGGGCTGCTGGCCACCTTGGTGGTGTGTGGTAAGGGCATCACCCCACCCTGGGGTCCCTCGTGCACCCACCTGGACTCCCCTTGCATGGCCCCCTGCTTGGGATCATGCCCAATTCCCACTCCCACTCTGCCATCTCTGCCTGGGAGGGGCCGACCTCCAGGGTCCCCATGCCCAGGAGGTGGTTGGATCCCCTCTGTTCAGCCCAGCCCGATGGCCCAACAGGATCTCAGGGCCGCTTCCTTCCTGGGCCCCCTGCCCAGTGCCCGGTTGCCATCCCTGGCCCTCCCCAGGCAGCTGGGGCCTGAACGAGGAGAAACGGCTGATCAGGCACCTGTTCACGGAGAAGGGCTACAACAAGGAGCTCCGGCCAGTGACCCGCAAAGAGGAGAGTGTGGACGTCTCTCTGGCTCTCACTCTCTCCAACCTCATCTCCCTGGTAAGAGGCCCCTCCTGGGCTGGGCTGGGGAAGGAGGGTAGCTTCTGCTCACCTAGGGCAGCTTCCTCCCTGGAGACACACTGTCACCCCCAAGCCCTGTGTGCTTCCAGCACTCCAAGGCTGGTGTCCCTTCCCCTCCAGCTTCAGTTCTGTAGCCACCATGCCACACCCATGACCTGCCCTCCTGCTCCCTGGCCTGCCTACCCACCCCTGAGGGCCTGGCTGCCAGGGTTCCCTGGTTGCAGCCACATGAGGTACCGGGTGGATGTGCGCAGCAGGTAGAGACGTGTCCCTTTGACAGACAGCCCTCCTGTCTGATTCCAGAAAGAAGTGGAGGAGACCCTCACTACCAACGTCTGGATAGAGCACGTAAGGAGAATGCCCCCCTCAGGGCCAGGAGTGGGGGTCCAGGGCCCAGGATCCCCTGTGCTCTCTCCCACTAGGGGACCTCTAGTTTGCCCTGGATACTGTCTCCCAGAAGGGCTTAGTGCCTCCCTACAGAGAGACCCCAGGCCCAGATGCCCTTCTCTCCCACCTAGACCCCTGCTAGCTCTGATGGCAATTTCAAGAAGATTAGAATGGATCTTTGGGGAAATTGTCATTCTACTCTGATTTTTATTACAAGACACTCTTAATAAAAGTGTCAGAGCTGTCAGAAGTTCCTAATACAGAAACAAATAGGAAATAATACTCCCTACATTGTGCAGTGCACATTGTAAACAGCTGTTCGTGACAGACCTGAGTCCTCACTTTTTACCTGCCTCCCTCCTCATCTGCTACAGCTCCCAGGTCCTGTTCAGTCTTTCCTGGTGGAAGTGGGAGTGATAAGGAAGGCTGGACAGCAGCAGAACCCACTGCTGACATGCTTTTTGGGCTTCCAGGGCTGGACAGACAGCCGGCTACAGTGGGATGCTGAAGAATTTGGGAACATCAGTGTCCTGCGCCTGCCCCCTGACATGCTGTGGCTTCCCGAGATTGTGCTGGAGAATAAGTTGAGTGGCGCCTCCCTTTCCTAGGCATTCTCCCCTCTCCTCCAGCCCCAAGTTCTCCCCAACCCTGCCAGGTCTGAGCTTGTCAGTGCTCACAGTGACATGTGTCCCTGTCCCCAGCAATGACGGCTCCTTCCAGATTTCCTACTCCTGCAATGTGCTGGTCTTCAACTCGGGCTATGTGTACTGGCTGCCACCCGCCATCTTCCGCTCCTCCTGCCCCATCTCTGTCACCTACTTCCCCTTCGACTGGCAGAACTGCTCCCTTAAGTTCAGGTGCGCCCACCTCTCTAGCCCCTCACCGCCAGGGCCCCCTGGGCAGGCTGGAGGAGGTGAATGATCAACCCCCACCCACCCACAGTGGCCCTCTGTTCTAACCCTCTCACCTCACTGGCCCACTGCGGCTGCAGGTCACCCTCTGTCCACTGCTCTCCCCAGTTCACTCAAGTACACGGCCAAGGAGATCACCCTGAGCCTGAAGCAGGAGGAGGAGGATGGCCGCGCTTACCCCGTGGAGTGGATCATCATCGACCCGGAGGGCTTCACAGGTGCTGGGAGCAGCGCGGGGTGTGGGGAGGCCCTGTGACACACTCAGGAGTAGACACAGACCCACCGACACCTCTCAGCCACACACCTAGGACTCGGTCGCTCACGACAGACACATCCCACCCTTGGAGGACCACACACCCAGTATCACACAGGACACCCAGCGGCAGAGCTGAGCGGGGACAGCCGCTGCCCCACCCAGGGCAGAATACTCTTCTGGGTACAGCAGGGGTCGCTGAGGACAGGTGTGGCCCACAGGAGGGGTGGTTGGTGGACACCCCAGGGGTGTGGTGGGGGAGTGGGCTGTGACACCCGATGGGGTGACTGTCACCCCCACCCCCTGTCTGACCAGGCTCAGATCTATGGGGCCCACTGCTTACCCCTGACCATAGGGTCCTGCCCATCTCAAGGCTGGGACATCAAGGGAGGCCCTGTTATCCTCAAGACCCAGGGGGAGGAGAGGCCCGGTTGACATCAACTGAGTTTCCTTTTGACATGCGCAATAGCTGGGAAGTCTTTTTTACTCCAGCTTCACACAGTCTAGCTGAGATGCGCTCCTTATTGACTCTGTTTGGCCTCAGCTTCAATTTTTCCCAGAGGGGAAAAAAACAGTCACAGAGAAAATGTCCCCTGGGGACAGACACCCACCAACACAACCTGAGACCTCCACGCCTCCCCACCTCTGACCCTGCGCCCTGGGCCCCTCACTCCACCAGCTCTCATCCTGCCCCTGAGGCCCCAGTCCCTGGGACCCCCCGCACTTGGCCTGATCCCAAGGTGTCAATGTCCACCCTCAGAGAACGGGGAGTGGGAGATAGTGCACCGGCCAGCCAGGGTCAACGTGGATCCCAGTGCCTCGCTGGACAGCACCAGCCGCCAGGATGTCACCTTCTACCTCATCATCCGCCGCAAGCCGCTGTTCTACATCATCAACATCCTGGTGCCCTGCGTGCTCATCTCCTTCATGATCAACCTGGTCTTCTACCTGCCGGCCGACTGTGAGCTCCCCGCCCGGCCACACCCAGGCCCCCTGAGGCCTCTGGGGCGAGGGCCTTCCAGCACTGCCCGCTTGTTTCCCCCGGGGCCACAAGGTGTCACTCCTGGAGGCCCTGCCTGGGGCACCCGGCCTGAGGGCCAGGAGGCCAGCTGGGGGAGGCCCATGGCCCACTGAGAGCCCCAGTGCCCAGGGCAGGGGCCCACTCTGCCTCTCTCAAGAAGCTTTCCAGGGGCCCCGGGAGAGTGGCCAGGCAGAGACCAGGCCTGTCAGGGTCACTGCTTTGGGCCTGGCATCCAAGAGGCCACAGCTGTTGACCCAATGAGTGGGCCAGGGGCCTCTGGGAGGCTGGGATGCGGGAGCAGAAGGTCAGCCTGGGCTCCTGTGGCTCCAGGAAGCAGTGATTTTACAATTTCAGGACATTCACCATGAGCCACCCAGTGCCTGCCTGCCTGTGGCAGACGGTGAAGCCGCAGGCCTGGGTGGTGGCCCTACTGGGGGACCATTCTAAATGGTGGTGGGGGCAGGATTCCCGGAGGAGGTGGAGTTTTGCCAGACAGGACCACTGTGGGAGCAGGTGCAGGGGGGAGGGGCGGGGCTGGGGCACATGTGACCCTCCTGCCCAGGAGCTCAGCTGGGAAGGGCAGGGCAGGGCAGTGCTGGCTGGGTCCTTGCTGGAAGGGTGGCATGTTGGGTGACATCGTGTGCTGTGCGGATGTCCCAGAGCTTTCTGAAGGAGGGTGACACACGCAGCTCTGTGATTCAGAGGGGTAGCGGGGTGTCAGGGGCTGGGCTAGCAGTGATGGTTGGGGGTTTGTTTTGTTTTGCAGTGCTGGGGGTGGAACCCAGGGGTGCTGCACCACTGTGCTACACCCCCAGCCTTTCTTTTTTTTTTTTTTTTTAAACTGGGTCTTGCCAGCCTTGAACTGGCTATCCTCCTGTCTCAGCCTCCCTAGCCACTGGGATTCCAGGCAGGTGCCATGGCACCTGGTGACAAATAGCATCCATTCAGCACTTGCCTGGTATTGACACTCCCGTGAGTGTTGAGAAAACAGGCACAGAGCAGTTAGGCTACTTGTTCCAGGCCACCCCACCAGTAAGTGGCAGAGCTGGGATCTGAGCCCAGGCACTGCAGAGCCACAGCCTGATGTTGATCAGTCACCATGGCCTTGTGAACAGTGGTGGCAGAGCCACTGTGGTGGGCCCTGTGGCTGGAGGTCTAGGGTTCCAGCCAAATCTGGCTCCCCAGGTGGCGAGAAGACGTCCGTGGCCATCTCGGTGCTCCTGGCCCAGTCTGTCTTCCTGCTGCTCATCTCCAAGCGGCTGCCTGCCACGTCCATGGCCATCCCCCTCATTGGCAAGTGAGTGGCCCACGCCTGGCTTCGCCCACTCCCGGCCTGGCCCTGTGTGCCCGCCGCCCCCAGGCTCCAGGCTGCCTGTTGCCCACAGGTTCCTGCTCTTTGGCATGGTCCTGGTTACCATGGTGGTGGTGATCTGTGTCATCACCCTCAACATCCACTTCCGAACACCCAGCACCCACGTGCTGTCCGAGGGCGTCAAGAAGGTGAGTGCTGGTCACAGCCAACAGCTGGAAGTGGTGCAGGGCCAAGCTCAGGAGAGGGGTCAAACAGGGGCGGCGCCAGCCTCCGCTGCAGGCCGAACCCCGAGAGGCCAGGCAGGGAAGCACGCAGCCGGGTGGGCTTTCTCTGACGCTTAAGAACAGGCAAAAACAGTCTTTTTCTTTTTCTCTTGTGGCACTGGGGGTTGAACCCAGGCTTCAGGCAGGCTAGGCAAGCCCAGTACCACTGAGCTACATCTGCAGCCCTTCCAAACCCGGCTTTGATGATAGAAGTCGGGATGGTGGCTCCCTCGGGTGGGAAGGGATTGAGAGAGGGGCATCTTTGGGGACAATGCTTGCTATTGTGTCTGGGTGGTGACTACACAATTGAATGCAACTGTAAAAATTTATCCGGCTGCCAGGCATCGTGGCGCATGCTTATAATCCCAGCTACTCAGGAGGCTGAGGCAGGAGGGTCACAAGGTCAAGGCCAGCTTGGGCCACTTAGACCCTGTCTCAAAACAAAAATAATAAGGGCTGGGGATGTAGCTCAGGAGTAAAGCACCCCTGGTTCAATCCCCAGTTCCAAAAAAATAAAGAGAGAAAAAAGAAGAAGGTGGAGACGGGGGTGCAGGTGCTCAGGACAGGGCTGTCCTTGCCTCTTAGGCACTGCAGGGCCATCAGGCTGTTCTGGGACGGCCTACGACTCTTTGCATCTTTAAGTATTTAAAGGGAAGAGCTCAGCATTTGGGGCATTGATCTTGCTGTTTTGTTGGTAGTATTTATTTTCAGTGACCAAGTTTTGCTCTGTGCTGTGAGTAATGAGGGGAAATTTAGTAGGGGATTAGGGAAATAAGTGACAGGGTCAGGGGAAGGAGCAGCTTGTGGCAGCCAGAAATGGGAGACACAAGTATGAGGGAGTGTGACGGTCACCCTGCATTTGTGAAGCAGCCTTTCTTGTATCCTCTTGGCCACGGAAGCTCTTCCTGGAGACCCTGCCAGAGCTCCTGCACATGTCCCGGCCGGCAGAGGACGGGCCCAGCCCCGGGGCCTTGATCCGGAGGAGCAGCTCCCTGGGCTACATCTCCAAGGCTGAGGAGTACTTCTCACTCAAGTCCCGCAGTGACCTCATGTTTGAGAAGCAGTCCGAGCGGCATGGGCTGGCCCGGCGCCTCACCACTGCCCGTGGGTCCTTGGTGGCTTTGGGGCATGGGCCATCTATGGAAGGTGACAGGGCAGGCCTCACACATGCCCTTTGGCTCATGTCCACAGGCAGGCCCCCAGCAAGCTCTGAGCAAGCCCAGCAGGAGCTCTTCAGTGAGCTGAAGCCCGCTGTGGAGGGGGCAAACTTCATCGTTAACCACATGAAAGATCAGAACAGTTACAACGAGGTGAGCGGCGCGGGCTGCAGCGCGCAGTGTCCCCGTAGCGCACTGGCTGATCGAGCGTGTCCTGCCTTAAGAGGTGCTGCTCCCCCCACATCCACACCCCGACTTCGATGGGGGAGTCCATGGTGGGTACGGATCCCAGGCCTGTATTCCTGTCTAGCTGCCCAAGCAGCACACCGGCCAGGCATCCGCAGGGACACATGGCTCCATGGTCCCGCCCTGGCCAGGCCATACTCTGAGCATTTCTTGGGTCCCTTCTTTCTCCCACGGCTTACCTTTTCTGTCCCTGCCCAACCCCAAGCCTGCTACTCCGGACAGAGCCAGATGTCCACAGGCAGGCCCAGCCATATGTGGTCGTTTACTGTGTGTAACTTTAAAATTCTCCCTGGAGAAAGTCTCGTCTCCAGTTTGTGGCCTGGAGCTGCCAGGAGCAGCTGGGAGCACTCCAAGAGAGCAGAGGGACCTGCCCATGTCCTCAGGCCCCTGAAACCCTGCAGTATATCAGCGAGGGTGGCTGTGGTCTCCTCCCCCAACAGACACAATGACCAGTCCTGCCTGTGTCCAAGGGGCCTAAGCCCTTGCTGGGGACCATGCCAGCACATCCCATCTGTCCTATGTGCTGCCAGCCCAAGACGTCCTCACAGACACGTGGAGGCCAGGCCAACACTTCTGTTGCTGGGCCCTGCTTGGAGGTCCCCCCAGACCTGCAGTCTGAGGACCCTCCTCACCTCATGGTGTCTGCCCCCTCCTCCAGGAGAAGGACAGCTGGAACCAGGTGGCCCGCACAGTGGACCGCCTGTGCTTGTGTGTGGTGACGCCCGTCATGGTGATAGGCACAGCCTGGATCTTCCTGCAGGGCACCTACAACCAGCCTCCACCCCAGCCTTTCCCCGGGGACCCCTTCTCTTATGACCTGCAGGACAAGCGCTTCATCTAGGGTGGCCCCGCTGGGCAGCGTTGTGGACAGTGAGTCAGAGAGGAGAGGCCAGCTCAAGCCCTGGGCTGTATCTGCTTGTCCTACGAGGCTGGGGCCAAGGTCAAGGCAAGGCCCGGAGCAGCCCCTGCTCAAGAGCAGGAGCCACCTATGTGGGCTGAAGGTAGAGTAGGCTGGAGGGTTTGGGGAGAGGAGGAGGCTTGCTCAGGGACCAAGGATGGTGTCACTGCAGCCAGCCTCAGGGAAAGAGTGCTGTGAGGGTCCCACAGACGGTGCCCTTCTCCGCCTTCCCTCCCCAAGGGGGCAGAGCAGGCAGGACTCTGGGCCTGTGCTCCCGGCTCCTCCTGCTCCCCCACCTTCAGCTTGGGCTTCTGAAGGCCCAGCTGGGGCCGAGGGTGGGTGTCTTCCTCTCTCCCGGGCCTGGGGAAGGAGGTCTTCTGCAGGGTGGGAGCAGCAGGGTCCAGTGTGATTTTTCTAGTCCTTTCTGCTGTAGGTGCTGTGGGTCTCTCCAGGAAGCCGGGGGCTGGTGTCAGAGGGCTGGTCTTGGCATCCACCAGGGTCCTGGTCTTCCTGAGGTCCCATGTATAACCCTAGAGTGCTAGATCCCGGACCCCCTGGAGTGAGTGCTGCTCCTCCTCCCCACAGTAGGGTTGCCAGGCAATCTTTGGGACATACTTACTCTAAGCAATGATTCATTTTTATCTAAAATTCATATCTAACCAGGCAACCTGTATTTGTATTTGCTAAATGTGTCAATCCTCTCCCAAAGGGAACCCCACTGCCTCCTATCCCAAGGGCCAAAGGCTGATGCTGTAGGAACCCTAGTCGTGGTTGGCCCACCTCCAAGATAGTCCAGTGACCCCTACCTCCTGGCATTCACACCCTGTGCAGTCCGGTCCACCCGGAAGCTGGCTGGTGTGTGTCACCAGCAGAATGAGGCGGAGGTGATGGTAGGTCACTTCTGGGATAAGGTCATAAAAGGCACAGCCAGTCCCGTTCACACACAGTAACTCACTCTGGGGAGCCATCTGGGAAGCTGAGGCCCTGTGGAGATGCCCACATGGCAGAGAACAGAGGCCTCCAGCCGACAGCCACTGAGTGAACTTGGAAGTGGATCTTCTTGCCCCAGTGAAGCCTCCAGATATCACAGCCCCCTGAAAGCCCCTGAGCCAGCTGAGCTGCTCCTGGATTCCAAACACTCCAAAACAGTGTGCAATAATAAATGTTTGTTGTTGTAGGTGACAGAGTTTGGGATAATTTGTTACACAAGGAGTGTGACCTTGACAGAGCTGCAACTCAGCTCTTAGCCTCAGTTTTCTCATCTGTAAAATGTATGTGTAGTAAGTCCCACACATGGGTGTTGGGAAAGTTGAATTGGCTAGTAGGGGCGTTTATATTCATTTATAGGCCTCAGGGGGCTCCCGTGAGAGGACTGTACCCAGGTCTCGGGCATCCAAGCCTGGCACAGTGACAGGGAGAGGACAGGAAGGTACAGTGGGCCAATTATTCACCCCTTTATGTACAGGCTTTGGGTTGTCAGGGCTCAAGCCATCTCCCTCAGAGGAGATTGGTGACCTCAGCAGGCCACAGGTGAGCTTCTCCATCTTTAGCTGTGACCCTTTAAAGCCAAAGCTGACTCTATTTACTTCTGCCTTCCACAAATTCAAGGTGCAAAACTTCATTTTCTCTGAATAAGAAAACCAGTTTAAACTCACACAGGTCAGCCAAGCAGGAAGTCCAGGCCTTCCCCAGAATCATCCAACAATTCAGGGAGGATCCCTGATTCCTGCACAGAGATGAAAGAGGGCCCAAATCCAGGGAAATGCAGTTCTCCCCATGGCCACACGGTGGCGCTGTTAGCAGTGGGTCTTAGTCTAGCCCCCAGGTGTCTTCAGCTGGGTCACCTGCTCAGATTACTGTGGACCTTCAACAGAAGACAACTCCAGAATGCCACACAAGAGGTCTCAGAGGTGGGAGGGGGCCATTGGCATTGAAAACTCCGGGGGAAGTGGGTTTCACAGACAGATGCTCAGTGAGAACAAAGCCCATCGGGAGGCTGAGGCAGGAGGCTGAGTTCTAGGCCCGCTGCGCCACTTAGTGAGACCCTGTCTCAAAATAAAGGATGCCTTTTGTACCATTTTCACCAGCAGCATCCGCTTCCCCAGTCCTGACCGGTCCACCCTGGTTGACATGGTACTCCACCTCCTTCCCTGCCAGGAAGTCACACTCAGGGGAAGCTTCTCTGGAAGCCAAAGGGTGTCCCTGTTCTCTCTCCAGAGCTTTAAAAAAAATAAGCTTTCTTCCTTCTCACATAATACAAGTCCAGGGGCAGTGGTGGCTGCATTGCCTCAGCAGTCCAACAAAGCTCTCAGGGACTCAGGCTCCCATCTCTATAGCACATGGGCCCTGTTCCTTGTACTTGTTGCCTCAGATGCAAGCTGACTGCCACAGCTCCACACTTCCCATCTATGTTTAGGCAGCAAAATGGCCAGACATTTCTGACTCCTTTTATCAAGAAGTGCCACAGCATCCCGTTGGTCTGGTCAAAACATCACGTGGCTTCCACTATTCTGCAAGGGAGCCTGGGAAATAAGTACAGCACCCCTCCATGACCATCACCATGGGTGTGGCATCTGTGGATTCAACCAGCCATGGGCTGAAAATATTTGAGACAAAAAATCCTGTCTATACTATATACACACAGACTTTTTTCCTTGTCACTCCTTAAACAATACAGAGTAACAAATATTTGCACATCACTCATCCTGTATGAGGTGTTACGCACAATCTAGGGATGTTGGAAAGCACCCTGGAGGACCACCTGGGTTATGTGTGAATACTGCACCATTGTACATGAGTGCAGGGAGCAGTGGCAGGTTTGGTGTCTAGGGGAGTCCTGCCTGGGGGGACCAAGGGGCGACTCCAGTTTTCCCTCCTCTGTAATAGGAGGTGGGAAAGGATAAGGGGCAGTGAGCATGCCCACTGGTGATCTTCTCCTAGTGGACCCTGCCCTTCGCACCTGACCCCGCCCCCCTGTCTCCCAACCCCTGGCAGCTGCCCCTCACAGAGGACTCACCATCCTAAGAGCCAAGGCCTTCTCAGCCCTCTCCTCCAGAGCAGAGAGGGCACAAGGCAGGAGATGCAGCACCATCCTACCTGGGTGAGATCCAGTCTCCATGCCGGTCCCTCCCAGACACTGTGGGGAAGGAAAGGGACAGTGGGACAGCATCTGCCTGGCTCCTGCACCTCAGCACTGCTTCCTGACCAAAAGGCTGCTGATGGTCTTTGGCGAAGGTGGGCTTGGAGGGGAGCAGAGGAGTGGGGGTACTGCTCTGCAGAAGAGGTGAGAAATTGAGTCTGAGGCCTGGGGAGGCAACAGGGGGAGGCAAGAGGTCTCAGAGGTGGGAGGGGCCATTGGCTTTGGACTCCAGGGGAAGTGGGTTTCACAGACAGATGCTCAGTGAGAACAAAGCCCATCGGGAGGCTGAGGCAGGAGGCTGAGTTCTAGGCCGGCTGCGCCACTTAGTGAGACCCTATCTCAAAATAAAATTTGAAGGTCTGTGAATGTAGCTCAGTGGAAACGTGCCCCTGGGCTAAATCCCCAGAACCCCCTCCCCTCCCGACACACATATAAGAAAAAAAGAAAAGAGAAAAGGGGAAGAAACTGGAGGGCCAGGAGCAGCTGTGACCACAGGGACAGCTGATGGGCTGCCCATAGGTAACATGGTGGCGAAGCAAGTCAGGCCCAAGGTGGCTGGGAAGACGGTACTGTCACCACCATCCCCCATCCCCTGGACCTGGCAGCACAGCAGGGACCCGAGGCCCTGGGTGCTGGGTTCTGAGCCAGCCTCTCAGGTCTCCCAGGTTGGGCCTCACTTCCGGATTGCCAGCACACTAAAGTGCCACAGGCAACATCCGGCACCTAAAGGCCTCCGTTGCCCTGTCCCCCAGATACCAGGAGCAGCTTGAAGTGTGGTGGCACTTATGGGCTCCTGGACTTTCCTTCTTGCCCTTATGCTGAGACATGCCGACCCATCTGCTTGGAATAGGTGGCCACAGGCAGGGGCTGGAGCAAGGCTGCGGGCAGTCCCCGCCCTTTCCCAGCCACAAACCACAAAGTAGGTGGGGCTCATTTTCTCACCCTCTTTTCCCTCTGGGTCCCCTCATCTGGTTTTGGGGAATATGAGCTCAATTTTTGTCTGCCACCTCAGTGGACCATGAGTTCTTACAAGTCGCTGAGGCATACCCCAGGGTCTCCCCAGCCTCATGCTATGCCGGCCACCACAGGAGCCTCCACAGTCTGTTGGGTGTTTTAATAAGGGCTGAGCTCCACTGAGGAGCCCCTGCTCAGAAGCTGTCCTAGTCCCAAGAGCCCCGAGCTCCAGATCCTTCTTGGCCCTCCAATTTCACAGCTTGCCAGGGCTGTGTCCCTGTCTCAGGGCACAGAGGACCTGAGGATGGCCTACTATGCCAAAGCGTCTTTCTCCTGGGCACTTCACCCTATCTGCTCTCAGTGTCTCAGAGCAGTGGAGTGGCCCACCAAGATGTCAGGCTGGTGGCAGAGATCTGGGGTTCTCAAGCACATTACAGAGAACCTCGTGTACAGACCATGCCACCGCCTCCACCTCGCCTCTCCCCAGATCCTGCTTCTCTCCCACACCTGGGAAATGGGGTTGGGTTGGGTCCTCTGTGTTTGAGGGTGGGGATGGGGTGCTCATCTCTGTTGGGACAGAAAGCCCCTCCCCATCTGGGGGCCCAGGAAACCTGAGCCCAGCATTGTGTGCATCCTGGGACAGCTGACAATGCTGTGGTCAGACAGCTGGTGGAGCGGGTAGGAGTGCAGGCTGTCACATGACACCCCGTCCGTCCATCCCTCCCTCCCTCCCTCCCTCCCTCCTTCCACCCTGGACTTGGGGAGTTGCTGTCCCATCCCTGTCGCTGGAGAGAGCTGAGGCACCATGCATGGAGGCCGGGGGCTGCTGTTCCTCCTGCCACTGCTGGCTGTCCACATGGGTAGATGGG